ATATATATATATTTACGTGGGGTGTCCGGGCCAGCTTGCACGCACCACGACTAATCCTCACGGCCCACTGAATACCCTGCAAACCCAGTAGGCAGGTAAGGCATTGCGGGGGTGACAGACGTGCACGCCAGGACTCGAACCCATATGTAGTGGAAGGAGACAAGCCCCTTCCACCGCTAGATATTTTATATTTTGAATAACCTCATGTCAGGTTTTTTAATCTTATCAGGTGTCTCAATTTTATTTTCCTTGGCATTTTTAGGTCACAAATCTAGTACTATTCTAAATATAGTTTCCATGAAATGTCACCTTTTCTTCTATTTGAATCTTTGATTCATTGCTGGTTTGTTTCTATTCAAATTCCATAACACAATAGATAAATTGAAAAAGAAAAAATTAATAAGAATTAATACAGGGAAAAGGAAAAAGAGAATGAACATGTGGCTTACCATTAGTGTTGCATTGATGTGATCATGGGTGAATTGACCTGTACCAAATTCAGCTTGATCTCTCTATACCATCAGCCGGCCACCAACAATATCTTCTTGTTCCTCCTCTAATTTGATGTGATCATCTGTAACTCTTTGGTACAAAACATCCAGTTCCCGAAAACTTCTTTCAATTCTTGAATGGAGGAGACCTGTGAGTCTCTCTATAATCCAACCGACTTTGGGAAAGAAATCAGTGGCAGAGAAGCTTGCCAATATTGCAGAGACTTCACGAATTACTTCAAATCTTTTTCCATCCAACCCTTTGATCTCTTGAAAACTCTTTCCAAAAGCTGCCCTACAAGTAATGTTTGCAGTGAAAGACAAAATCTTTTCACTGAGGTCAACAGGGGTTGCTGAAAAAGAACATGCAGAGATGGTGTCAATTAACAAAGCAACCTCTTCTTCTCTTATGAACAGAAATGACTGCCCCCTCCTGGCGCTGAAGTGTTCAAGAACACAAATCTTTCGCATCTTCCTCCAATAATCTCCATAGGTGTATGTGAAGGATACATCAGAATAGCTGTAAGATAGCCTCCCATTGCCAACCAAGACAGGTCTACTGCAAGCATGTAGGTCATTAGTTTTCAAGACCTCTTTTGCAGCCATGGCTGAGGAGATAACCACCGCTGGTACAGCACCAAGTTTAAGAAGGATGACAGGAGCATATTTCTTGGAGAGTTGCCATAAAGATCGATGAGACAAATCTCCAAGTTGGTGCAAGTTACCTATAATTGGAAGCCTGGGAGGCGTTGGAGGGATCTGCTGCTTGTTCTGTTTCTTTCTTATCAGGAGAAACATTAACAGGGAGAAAAACAGCACAAGAGGAAGCGACCACATAGTTAGGGGATCATGACAAGCCATGACACTACTAATTAGGGGATCATGACAAGCCATGACACTACTTCTTTGGGATTTGCCTTGAAATTCCTAGCTGTAACATTTTGTATAACAAATCAATCAGGGGCAAAAGGTTGCATGGTCTTGTTCGTGTTCAGGGTCATGGGTTCACCCTCTTTAACAAGCTATTGGTTGTGAAATGAACTTTATCTTATCTAAGCAATTATAAGAGCATGTAAAAATTATGTCAGCAACACTCTACAGATGATAAACAATATATAAAGTGATTTATAAGCATACTATTTTTTTTCCCGAAAAAATAAGGGAGAGAGGAAACTTCAAATTAAAATATTTATTATCTTAAAAATCTCGTATTCTTTCTTCTCCAAGTTCAAGGTAACATCCAAAAATGGAAATACAAATAAGGGGAGGGTAGTGTTTTATCTTCTTCAATTTTTTAACAGGCCAATGCCCAAGAAGACAAGAGATCACATTGGACTGGACATATGCGTGGCCTAGTGCCCAGGTCATACCTATTACATTTCAAACCAAATTGACAAGGCCCAGACCCAAAACATATCTGACTCGCCCAATAAAGGCTTCGTTTGACTCGCAGTAGGATTGGTTCTCATTGAGTCATTGGTGAAGAGGAGAAGGAAGAATCAGTTTTCTGTAATGAAACCGAGGAATCTCTGTGAGGTAACCTGTATCTACTCTTTACCTGCTCTTTTCTATTTCTTGTTTTACTTCTCCGCTTTTTTTTTTATCTTTTACATGGCTGTTTCTTCCCATATATATAGTTTTGAGCTTTATATGATGTGAATTCTTTTGGGATTTTCTTAGTTTGTTGGTTATTGCAACTGGATTTGGAGCATGTAGTGCCGTCTGCTTGTTACCATTATGGTTTGTGATTTGTCTTGCTATTTGTGATTGTTTAGTATTTGTTTTGTGAGATTTTCTTTGGTTACTGTCTCTTGATTGATTGTGTTGGGATAGACAGAAGCAACATGATATATTTTTTGTGTTTAAAAGTACGGAGGAGACGTAGCATCCTTGGGCTACGGAAAAATTGAGATTGCTAGGATGTTCTGTTTAGCTGGCTTGTTATTTCAGCTTGCACAAAATCCACACTTTACAAACCCATAGTCTCTTTGCTGCGAAGGATCTAACTAGTGCTTAGGGTCATCCTGATTTATAATTTTCTGATGACTATTCTTCTTTGGAAAGGGAAGACCTGTATCAAAAGGTTCTTGAAACCAATAAAGAGCACATGGAATTGGAAGGGACTGAGTGTTGTATTTAGTGGATGAACTAGTGATCAAAGATGGCCACTCATTAGTTTCGTGAAATGTGGAACCTACCTCTCTGTTTTTTTTTCAATTAGCTGATGGTTGGAAAAGAATTAGACACATCTTCTGCCTCTGGCATTCCTTTAACCCAAGGAGTGAAGAAAGGCTAACATGAGTTTGCAAGGTTTTCAAGTTGTTTAGTTAGCATATTATGATTCCTCATGTGATAGAGAGGATATACTGATCGAAAAGCTTTGCAAATTGTCTAGGGTACCTCAGCATCAACTCTCCATAGGTTATCCATAATGCTTCAATGTCAACCTTGTTTCTTGTCTTGTTGTGAGATGAAACGAGTGCTTATGGCTTATCTTGCATCTCAAAAATGTGGTTCAATATGTTGTTAAATTGGCTGTGATTGATAAGATGGGTCATGGAAGATAAATTCATGAAAAATAGTGACAGCGATGTTGTTGGTAATTAATCATCTGGTTAATTTAGGAAAGTGGTGGGTGTCATCAAAATTTAGCATTGTGAAAAAAATTTGTTTTTAGATAATACCAATCTGGAGCGCCTTTTTAGTCATTAAAAGCCATAAGGATCTTTGATAGTGATATATTGCTTGGGGCTTTTTTTTCTTTGTCCTTTGTGTTATAGAATCACTTCTGTTCCCTCATTCACATGGTATTGACACTATCTTTTTATTTGACAGACACGTGGAATATGAGCCTGTTGATGATATGATTTTACTGGTCCCTGAAATCTTATATTAAACGAAGGACTTTTCCTTTGAAATTGAACGTCCACAGGTAAAGATAATCAGAAGTCCCATACTGAGATGGCCACTGAAGAGAAAACTCTAGTTGAAATATTAGAAGAAAACAACCTCATTGATCTTGCCAAATATGTAAACTATGTAAGTGCTTCGCAGGCTGGTGCCATAGCAACATTTTCAGGTACAACACGTGACACCTTTGAGGGCAAAACAGTAGTGGAGCTAAGATATGAAGCATATGTACCAATGGCAATACGCCAGATGAAATCCGTCTGTTCATCTGCTAGATCATCCTGGGATATCCACTCCATTGCTGTTGTACACCGCCTGGGTACAGTTCCAGTTGGAGAAATGAGTGTCTTCATTGCTGTATCGGCTGTTCATCGTGCTGATGCCCTGGATGCTTGTAAGTTTTTGATTGATGAGCTAAAGGCATCTGTTCCAATATGGAAGAAGGAGGTTTATTCTAATGGAGAGGTTTGGAAGGAGAATTCGGAGTTTATGGATAGAAAGCTGGAGCTAGGGAAAACAAATGGGAGCTGTTGCAGAAGAAATGTCAAGGTTGAGACACATGGCACAAAGAGTTGCTGTGGAGCTAAGGTCAAAGTGGCTGATGGAGCTGCAGCAGAGATTAGCACCAGTGATGCTGGTACTGAAGAAACAATCTAAAAGATTCAATACAATCACTCTATAAGAAGAAAAGCGGAAAAACATAAAAACAGAGAGAAATGGGATGTTCCAAACTGTTTATACATGAATAATGTGCCAGCTTTTTAGCATATTGTCTCTCTCTAATAATCAGCTTAGCCTTTCCATCTGTACATTGTTGACATGTTGACTTGTCGACTTTGTTTTTATTATCACGACTTAATTTTCAAATGGCGTCTTTGTATTGCTCTGTATGTTGTTTTTGAAGATCAGAAAATGTAAATGGCACACCAGTTTCAGAGACTTAAAGATTACAGCTAGATAAAGCAAATTACAATGCAATCAATCTAGCGTTGGCCAAGAAGTCTATCAAACCTGAACCATATATTCCAGCAGCCAGTAGGCACGAGATGTGTACTGTGCATGTTCAAAACACTGTACTTTTCAGGCCACTCCATGAAGTTTCAGTCAGAAACTCAGAAGGTTATCAAAAGGTTGGTTCAACTTCAGAGATGGTGAACAGCTTTAACCATTATAACATGATCATTTTATAACATTATAACATGCAACAACCCACACATGAACAGTGTAAAACATCTTTGAACAAGAATCAAATCAAGCATTTTGGCAGCTGCTTCACCAAAAGGAGAAGGATACAAGAATAAAATCAACCCGACACAGATCATAATAGCAGCATGATCTTCCTATTAACCAAACACTACTGATTATGTGGAAGCTGGCATTCATCTAGACATCAAAACATTCCGACCTTAAAAAATAAGAAGCTTGTTTACACAAATATAGCGTAACTTCTTCATGGTGATTCAGATGAAAGGCTTCTGGCTGGGGTAAGAAAGTCACATAAGAACTTCATGGTGATTCAGATGAGGCTTCTGGCTGGGGAAAGAAGAGCCACACTCCCATAATCTCCGCTTGAAAATTTCTTGTAGACAGCCTTGAGCTTACTTTCGGCAGCGGCAGAGTGACATTGAACCAGGAGCTTTGCACAATCCCTGTCGCATGACAGACCGAAACACATTAAAAAAATTATGCCAAACTATTAGTGCCTTGAGGTCACAAACTAGAGAAGCATCAACAGTGTGCCAAATTATCGCATGCCATGATTATTACTGGCAGGGAGGCTGACTAGGCACTGTTTAACTGAACTATGATCCATATCTTTTTAGTTAAAGAAAATTTACCTTAACATATCTTCAGTGTAGCCAGTGTGGTGCTTCAGAGTTTCAGTCCATAAAGGGCTCTTATCCATTGTACATCGAGCAGCATACACAGCTGAAGCAGCAATTTTCGAGGGACCATACTTGACAACAACATGATATTGCATCAGACCAAGTTCGGACAGGAAGAACACCAGGCTCTCTGTCTACATTAGTAAAACATCAACCAATTAATATTGGGTCATATCAAGGAGACATCAACATGAAAAAGCAGAACTCGAAAACAAAATTATTACATTGTTTGCATTAGTACCTCTTTATCAGATGGAATGGAAGCCTTGATATATCTAGCAAGGAAAACATACGGTGTTGGAACCGTAAGATACCACTCTAGCTTTCCCAAGATTGCTTTCTCCATTACCAGAACTTGCTCTCTTGTATAGGCATTGTCAGATATGCAAACGAAGTCATTAACCTACATATTTCAGAACAAGAAACATCATGTCAGCAGGGTGATTATACTTAGAACAAAACAAAATACCAAGGCAGTATTGCATTAAAAAAGTGAAGAATACTGCACCTCTGGCGCCCATATTTCTTCGTACTTGCAGGCTAAAAGCATTGAGCTGATGCCAACCAACTGAAGTTCCTTCCTTGGTACCATTTTCACCGCTAGGAACCTATCAACAATATTTATGGTAAGATAGAGAGTTTCCGGCATCAGCTCAAACTTTCGATGAACTTCAATCAGCCAATCTACGAGGATCGATCTCATTTTTCCGTTGATGTCTGGTTGGGATTGCAGGTAGTCATGTACCCTGCCGTCAACCTGCATAAAACTCGTCATGTTAATGTGTGTGTAGATAGATAGATACAGTCAGATAGAGACAGAGAGACAGAGGATATCTTTACCTCTGTAAGTTTGTAAAACTCGTACATATCATCAACGTATTCAACTACTGCCAACTCATTAGTAACGTCAGCAGCATCAATGTCCACCAGTGTATCATCAGGCTTACCACAAGCGGCCTAATGGTATAAATTACATCAGTACATAAACAATCGAATGGATAGAACAAATTATACATAAACCAAAACTGCAACTATCCAATTACTTTGCTTCGAGCAGAGAGGATTGAAGTGAGCGTCTTGACTCCTTTCCTTGATACTCTTCTACTAACAGGTTTACTCTTTTCAGTTTCATCAGAGCTTATCACAATCACATCCTCAAGTCTGTGTTTCTCATTCACTTTCTTTATTTCTGCTGCTGGTGCCTTTGAATCTGCAGGAGCCCTCACATTGCGAGCAACTGCAGTGTCTGCAACTTCT